CCCCCCCCAATGCAAGTGGGTGCACAAGCCGGGCTGGAGGCGAGGTCACTGGGCTTTAACCCACCAACAGTTGCCATGCTCTCCTGCCTGAGCCTGCCCTGGCTGGGGAGGTAGCATCCCCTCCCTGCAGGTGTGGGGGTCACTGTGTTTTGGTGCAAAAGCCTCTTTGACCTTCAACATACAACAGTGTTTGAGCAGCAGGTGCAGAGGGGCTAGAAAAAGCCTTTTTCTGGGCATCTTAAACCTCCCCGCCCCCTTGTCCCTCTCGTCCAGACATGTGCGCCAAGCTCTGCGCCGTGTGCGTCTGCAGTGGGATAGGCACACTGTCTCCCTTGTACACACAGGCATGCTTGGAAAGAGCTGGGGGAGGAAGGGGGGAATGGATGGATGGATGAGAAGATGAAAGACTGAGGGATAAGGGTTGGGGGTTTTTTTGCCTCCCCACGCTGCCCGGCTCTTGTGGTAGGGAGGAGGCAGTGGAGCTGGCAGACATTGCTGTGCTGATCCCCCGGGGGTTCTCTGTGCCGGTGGAGGCAGGGTAGGGAGTGTGTGTTTGTGTAAGTGTGGAGGGAGTATGGAGTGTGTGTGTGTGTGTGTGTGTGTGTGTGTGGGGAGTGTGGGGGTTGTATATGTGCATGTGTAGGGTACATGTGTGTGGGGGGGATGGTATGTGTCTGTGGGGGGGTGGCAGCTGGTTTGTCAGTCTCTTCAGGCTTTATTTGCAGTAGCGCGGTAATGAACTTTGTAGTATCACTGCAAATTGGTTGGTGGAACAGCTCTGTGTGTGTGTGTGTGTGTGTGTGTGTGTGTGTGTGTGTGTGTGTGTGTGTGTGTGTGTGTGTGTGTGTGTGTGTGTGTGTCTTTTCAATGTGGTTCAGTTTCAGTGAAGCCCGAGTTGTTTTACACATGCTTCAAAGCTTTAGTTTTCCACAGGAAATGGTATAAGCGTAACTGAACGCTCAGCCACGAAATCAAACTTTGTTATATATGCAGTGGTTTGGCCGGCGACTGCGTGGTTGGGGCTGAAATGCAGTCTTTCTGGACAGATTTCATTCATGTTGCTGCTTGTTTACCAAAAGCTTGACACAGATCTTGACACAGATGCAACACAATGATGCATCAACTTCCTGGGGATTTTAAATTTTTTTTGTCTCTAAGGTGTCCAATATTTTTATCGATTTCTCTCTCATTTAATAAAGTCAGAGCCTCTGGAATTGAAATGTTCGTGTAAATGCAGTTACATATACACATAGTAGAAGGGAAATGGAAGGAGCTTGTTACATGTGTGATGGAATCAAATTTAAATTTGGGCCAACCTCAAAGGCAACAGTATCTTAAAGATTGAGGGGCAAATATTGAACACAGCAACTGGGTTAAGGTTGCTATTATGTTTACAGTTTCACCCTTTTCAATTAGGCTCGTCCTATCTATGCCTTGTACCTGCTTACCTATTGTTTTGAGACACCTTTTTCCCCATAAAGGGACAACAGAAGGGGCAAATAATCAGCTGATGCAAATTGTCATAGCTCCATTATGTCATAGCTATACTGACTGAGGATCTGCTCCAAGGGACTGGGCTGAGCCTTAAATTAGAATTGATTTGTTGTTAATGGCTCGTGTGTCATGGTCCTTAAGCTTTATTTTAACATATTTTCTCTCTGTGTGAATATGTTTTAACTGTGTTGCTGTCTTGTTTTTCCCTTGAGTCACAGTATTGTGTCTGTATGTTTCAGATGGCAGTGTTTTGCATTTCTGACATTGCAGTGCTGTCTCTCCAGGCTTGTATTGAGTCTTTCATTTTGTTTCATTGATTTGCAACTCCCATTCTTATAGCTCCCTGGATTCATTTTGACCCTTTATCTCTTTTTCCAGGGACATGATTTAGGGTTTTCATCTCCATTTTGTTTGTTGTTTTACCTAAACGTTAATCTTTTTTGTGGCTTGTTCCTGAGTCGAGCAAAACTCTGCCTTCAATGGAAATTTTGCCTGAATAGAGAAGGTAGGATCAGGCCATCAACAACCAGTTATGTATTTTGCTTCGGTTCTCCTACATAGATTCCACCATGTTTAGTGGAAGTTTTAGATGTACAAAAGATTCAGGATCAGGCCTTAATAAACAAAACAGGATGTTTTATTTTTTTATTTGTTCTGACTTATTTCATGTGCATGTTATGTACTGTGAGCACTGCTACAACAATTAGCACAGGCATAATAAACACAGACATGATTAGCGTCCTCCCCTACCATGATATATGCATATCTGTTTACATAGCATCCATCCTCATTGTGTCTGAGTCTCTCAATTTACTAATTAATTTATCCTTGGGACTTCCCTGTCCACTCAGGAAGTATTATCATGTCTGCTTTCCAGATGGGGAACTGAGGCACAGAGAGATGTTAAGACTTGCTCAGAGTTGTACAGGAAATCTGTGGTACAGCCAACGACTGCTTGAAGCTTCATCTCTGTACTCCTTCAGTAGCATGATCACAAGATCATCCTTTCTCTGTACTTACTACTTGAATCAGACTTGTAATTACAGTTGTATATCTAGCAATCCTTTCCTCATGTCTTGCAACCTGCCCACTTGTAGTGATCAGGAGACTGGCTGGTCCCTTGAGCATGTAAATCTGGACCCTGATTTTAATATTGCTTGTGAACTACAGCTGCATGCACATTTAGCTGAAGGATGTTGCATGTACCCAGCAGACACTGATGGAAACTAATTCCATAGTCAAGGACCTCTTATGGAGAACACCAGGCAAAAATCACTTGCCATTTAAATTTGAGAAAGGGAGAAACTGGGACTTGCAACTTGAGTTGTACCTTTTCTGATTACAGTTTTGCTAGTATCATATGAGAAGGGTCATAGTTTCGCTAGTGGTTTGACAGACCAGGGTCAAACTATTTAGGGCTTTCTAGGTTAAAAATAACACCTTAAATTCTCAGGTGAGACAACCAGTGAAGATCACAGTTGCGATCTGTGCCTTGGATGGGAGTAGTAGAAAAATGGTCTGAGGGTTGGGGAGCCACAAATGGATCTTTTTGTGGCTCTGCTCAGTATTTACTGGAAACAGCTCAGGATCCAACCCATTGTTCTTAGGCACAGCTGATTCCTGGTCATCCAAGGAGCTGCTGAGACACTAATGACCACCTTCCCCCCCACTTTTTTTTTTTTGAGCTATAACTCTCTCTACAAATCGTCATCCATGTCCTTCAGCCATTCAAATTAACTTCAACTTTGCCTAGATTCAGCTCAACCAGCTGCCCTCATCCAAGCCCATATGCAGTAGCATATCTGAACAGGGGGTGCAACAGGGGCAGCAGCCTTGGACCCTGCCTTTGTTTGGGGATGTGCAAAATAGTTGCAACTGTAGTGGGAGCCAATCATGCCGTTGTGATCAGTACTGTCCTGGGCATCATGAGGCTGTCTTGGGTATAGAGCTGCACTCCTGTGCCTCTGCCCAGATCTCATGCACCAGCTGAGTCACTCCTTCAGTGATGTGGCCAGGATTGGAATTGATGGAGGAAGAGGAGTGCTTGTCATTCACAGGGTGTGTGGAGGTGTGGACAAAAGCCATGTGTTTCTCCTCCCTTAGGCCTCAGCTGTACATTGAATAGGAGGGGTGCTGGAGTAGAACTGCATCAGCCATGAAAGAGCTGGTAAGGTGGACATGCACTACCCACAAGGGCCTTCTGGGACCTCAGCTGTGTTTATTCCAGGCTCTTTACTGGAGCGATCTGGCCTCACCTGTACTCAGGAGCAAGTCTTCTTTCTGAATAGCTAGAGTTTTAATTTACTGGCTGAATGAAATTAAAAAAAAAAAAAGTTCACATCTGGCCTCTGGGGTTTTGTTGGTGCCTGAGCGATTAAATATAACAAACTCTGCCTAGACAGTGCACACTTTGTATTTCATAATATTCACATGCAGCCAAATTGTTTCCTTTGGGTACAAAATCTGCTGACTGTAAAAAAGTGGTAAGCAGTGTCACTTGTCACATTGTGACACTATACTGTATTTTGTTCCTTTAATCATCATTATTAACTAAAAAACTAACTAACTTTTAGGGTGTATCCAAGAGACCTAAGTGG